ACTTATTTTATATTCGATAAAACTTTGGTATAATTTAGGTTAAATATTCACATGGTCTGAGTCATACTCTCCCTTATCTCTCTCTCTCTCTGTCGTTCGATGCAAAATAAAACAACTTATAATGTGCGTTTTCCTTCGACTACAGTCTAAAACCGCCGTTCGAATTTAAAAATCACTCCGAGTCCGATCAGATTCTGACCCCTCCCACCACACCTACCCCCTCCTCCTTCTTCTGCCCGTATTTTTATTGCCTCTGAAAGCAAGCTAAAATAACTGCACGAGTAAACCCACACTGACAACCTCAACGTCATATTAACATAAACAGCATAAACACACACACGGCGCGCGCGCACGCACACACACACAAAACATATGTGGTTTGTGTGGAGGTCCCCCTAAGTTGCAGAGGTAAATGGAGTGGAACAGGTTAGCCATGGTTCTGTGTCGTGTCCCACCTGTACAAACACTGCTTGATCATTGCAGAAATACACCCAAAGAAAAGACACACACACACCTACAAACACACACACACAAATAGAACTCCATCTGGTCTCAGGCAATGGTGGGTTTTAATAGCTATCGATCATTTTCCCTAGTGACACACTCGCCTCCCTGTTACAGAGGCAGCTGAGGTCTCAACTCAACCCCGCCCCCCTCGGCCCCTCCGAGCACCATCCAGCCACTCGCACAAACACAGACACACACACAAACACGCAAATACAAACCGTGTGCACACCCTTTTAATGCAGTGTCAAAAAGCCCATTTACTTACTTAGCCCGTGCATGTTTGTGCTTCTGTGTGTCCCTCACTACACGCGTGTGTCAAAAAAAGAGAAGCGAACAGAGAGCCCTGCTGTTGCTCATTTGCTAGATGAGGTTATTTAATTTACATAAAGAGGCACAGACTCACTTTCTGAAATTAAATTACTTCTAGGCAACAAATAAAAAAGGCGTGTAGACACGCTCCCGCAACATACAAATCCTTGTCTGTGTCACCCTTCAGGTGGACTTGTTTTTTTTTTTGTTTTTTTACAAAGACAAACTAAAGTCAATGAAACTGCAGTGTGTTTGACACGACCCAATGATGTCATATTACACCTGCCTGAGTGACTTACAACGAGCAGTAAGGGTCAAAACCACGGCGGGATAATCGATGTCCCATATGATTCTGAACCAGGGAGTTGGCAACATTTAATTGTCTTTTGTGACTGAGGATACTGGAGAATCGCAGTTCATTTTACGGGCAAACTGATTAAATCACCGTCCAAAAAGACACAGTCTGTGGGACATCAAACACTCCGGCAACTGGAGAAAGCCAGGACAATGTGACATCACGATGACAAATGCAGTCTGTCAGAGTGTGTGTGTGTGTGTGAGGGGGGGGAGCGGGGGGGCAGAGAGGGTAGAGGGCACACCCACTTCATGTTGAAAATAAAAGATGTAGAGCAGCAAGAAAAACAAAAGACAAAAGAAGAATAGTTTTCCTTAAAGGTTTGGGTTTGGTTTTGTGAAAAGAATACGAAAATATACAAATTATTGTTTATTTCTGAACCCAATTGCAGGTTACTTTTAGTATTTTTTTCTTTTACTTTACACAGTACATAGTATAATCCATATAGAATCATCCGATTCAATACATTTCTAAGTCTCACAGCACTCACTTTCCATACAACCTTACCACACCACATTTTCTAAATGTGTTTGTTAAGTTGTCCAGTGTTAAGCAACACAGTTACTGTTGTAACTGTTGACATGAACAAAGACTAATTACAAATTACTAGTAAGTGTGCAAGCTTACCGGCCAGTTCAACACAGAACTTAAGTCACTTTTTTTTCCTCACCAACAACTGAAGAAGTCATTGTTTTCACTCTCTGTCTCACTGTCTGTAACTACCTATCTATTCACAGTGTGACCGAAACCTTTTGCATTCGGTTCTTTCAGAAGTTTCACTTTATCGTTGTCTTTTTTACATTTTCACTATAAATAGTGTGCGCTGTGGGACTTTGCCAAGAGAAGCTACTAAAACAACATCTTAGAGCCAAGAAGAGACAAAGAGAGAGACAGAGAGAGAGAGTGATGGAAGCAAAATTTAGAGGGGGTGTAATGAGTCTTGAACCCCTTTAGGGAAACATCACAGAAGTGGATGGATGGTGAGTCTCATAAACTTTGATCCCTCAACCTCTTTTTATTTTCTTTATTTCTACTATCATGGATTTAAAGGATTTTTTTATGTTTTTGGTTCTCTAATGTTTCACTTAGCCTGCTCTGCCTGATATGGATTATCAGTATTTTATTTTTTAAGTCCATTGCATATCTTCTGATTTTAAATTGTAAAGTTAAAATTGTGTTTTAAAATTTAAATGTCCCCGTTGACCTGGAAAATGGATTGGAGGTGGAGTAAACGGGACCATTAATTTCAAATGCCTTGTTAACAGCTTAACTAAATATACTTTAAAATGTATAGTATGAGACTTGTTAAAATGAGTCTCATTACTGGTACAAGCATTAAATATAGTGAACTGCTATTCACTGCGCGACCTGAGATGGCCTCGGTTTGGAAAAACAATCATGTAGCTTTGAAAGTGAAGCCAAGTAAATAGCGGTGAACAACCAGGGTCTGGATGTTTCAAAGAAAACAGAAGAAATCGGTTTCTCGTATTCAAAAGTTTAATAATGGCAAAAACATGCCATTATTAAACGTTTTATAAATCGCCAGCTATTTTGGAGGACATCAGACGGGAAAACATAAAATTCCTTGGTTCACTGACACCTGGATTCAGGGGAAGGTTGTGAACCTCCATACGTACCGTAGATGTATAACATGTGGTACTGGTGAAGTCAGTACTCTCCAGTTTTACAGGGGACTATGTTTGTAGTGGGAAATTTGTGATTATTTGTTATTTCTTGGTACTACAACGTACATAGGTAACACCGAATAACCCCGAGCAGACAAAAACTGTAACAGCAAATCCCAACCTCAAGTTGTTCGCAGTAAAGTTCTTCTTGGTTAATATTCCCATACATTCTCACCTTATAGTACTTTTGGCAAAGTACTATAAGGTGGTTACCCTATTAAACTTTATGCATGATGGAAAGGAAAAAATGAAGGGCCAATTCATGCAGTATTCTAACCATGGTAAAACATTTAAGTGGTTCTCTGAGGAGCACAATTTAAACGTATATAAAATATTATTTCACAAAGTTCGACTTTTGGAGAGTTTTATATGGTTTTATTAGGTTGGTGAAACAAAAACGCTTTCCCACAGCGTACACGAATAATAATGTGTTTTGTTTGTGCATGTGATTCTGTCCATCGTTAAAATACTTTTTTTTTTTAAATTAACCCTTATCTTTAACTACTTAATTGATATGATTACCAAGTTAAGAAAATAAATAGCAACAGTCAATTAATTACATTAATTTCTAATAAAATACATTAATCCCCTTAGTTGACAAATACAGAAGTACATAAAGTAATTTTATCTAATACAGTTATGTAAAAGGCAACTTTTACCAAGACAGTTCATTTGTCCTTTACTTAACTGCTTCTGATACAGTAAGGCAACATAAGTGGCCATAAAAAATCAGACTTTTTTTTATGATCTGGTTAAGCTTTTCTGAGCCAGCAAGCACCAGAGAGCTGATCTATCTGTCACACATGGGGGGCATATTTAGTTATGGTGTACAGGAGATTGTTGGCAGTAAAGCTGGCTCGGCAGACGATGACCCAGACACTGGGAGTGTGGAGACTGGAGGGGAACCTTTAAGACACACCAGTTAACCTTGTGCCATTAAACCCACCATGAATTCTAACCAGAGGCCAGGGGACAATGGACTGAACTACACTAATTACAGAACCTGACAAGGATAGTAGGAAATATGCTTGGTCTTTACGAGGACGAACAGGCAGTCTGCAGCTCTTTCATGAACAATTTGTAGGTGCTGCAATTAAAAAAAAAAAAGTCTTAAATGCAGGTTTGCCGATGTGTGTTTTTTTTTGCACTAGTAAAAGTAAAATGGTCTATTAAATCTGTCTCCTAATGACTGAATTAATGCTCAGATCCTTATAAATCTGAACGAAAGACTGCTTTACTGTCGTTATTGCATTGTGAGTCAATAAGTTGGACTTGACACTGTTCTTTGGATAATTAAAAGTCATTTCTTTTCACTGTGAACGCTTGAATTTGGGAAATAATATTACTTGTTTACATATGTTGTTTTTTAAACGTCTTTCGTTTACTTTTTTAATTCTGTGCGGTTGATTCCACAGAGACAAGAGCATACACTTAGATGTAGACAATGTGGAACAGTAAACGTACTAACCTGTATTATCTATCTTATAGTCCATTTTCTACCTCTTAATCCGATAAAGGATCTGGGGGGCTCTAGTTAATCCCAGTTGATGAAAGATGTGCACACTTTTAAGAGATTAACACCCACTTACAGGTTTTCGTTTAAAGACAATTATACATTCAATTTTAAATATCAATAATTTACACAATAACAGTTATTTTAATAGTTGACCATGTGGTGCCTGACTGGAATTGCTAGTTAAACGTTTAGTCAAAATTCTGTCAGTCAACCCTTCTTTGCCACGTTGCAAAATTATCTCCAAGACAAGAACTTTAAATAACATCTCAAGTAAATATTGAAAGAGTAGAATTACTGTTATAAAATAAATTTAATACAAAAACAAATCCGACTGACATAGTGAACACTGGGCTCTCCCGCCACTTACTGTACAGAGCGGGTAACCAGATATTCAAAAACAATACGTCATCCCATAATGCAGCGCGCTTCGCTCTGCTGTCAAGATGACGTCATCCCACAATCCACCGCGAGACTTAGAATCTTCTGGGTGGTCGACGTTGGAAGGCAAGGGGGCGCGTCTTATCTAGACTCTAGACACGCCCTTTGTGCGCGACACGCCCTCCAGCCAATGGGAGAGCCCTGTCATGACATCATGGTTATTTTTAGAGAGGCAGCGGCAGCAGATAAGGTTTGCCTGCACGTTACTCCGCTCAGCCAATACACATCCAGGCGATAGTGAGGAGAGGAACAGCGGACGCGCTCTGTGCTGTTCTCTGACTGGAAAACTTTTCTCTAAGACTTTGTGACTCAAAGCGTCACAAATACTCTGGGAAGCAGCAGCCGTCGGCACCTGACAGACGTAAGTCCTGATTCCTGTGTCAACACCATTGCTGACAGGAGTTTGGAAGTTGTTTAGTAGAAAAAGTCTTTTGGAAACCAATATTTTTCTCTCATCTTATAAAAGAGGAAGAAGACAAGTGACAAAAAGTTGCTTTCTACAAAACAAGACACTTAAGTTGCTTTTTTATTTTTGGGAAGTTTCTCTTCTATGTATGCCAAGATGGAAACTACTTTCTATGAAGACTCACTCAACGCTTTCTCCCAGCACGAAAACACCGGCTACGGATACAGCGACGCCAAAGCTCTGAAACACAACATGACGCTGAACCTGTCCGATCCGTCCGGAACTTTGAAACCTCATCTGCGGGCCAAGGCGAGCGACATCCTTACATCCCCCGACGTGGGCTTACTGAAGTTGGCTTCTCCTGAGCTGGAGCGGCTTATCATCCAGTCCAGCAACGGACTCATCACCACAACGCCGACACCGACCCAGTTCGTGTGTCCTAGAAACGTCACGGATGAGCAGGAGGGCTTCGCTGAGGGGTTTGTGCGAGCTCTGGCCGAGCTCCACCACCAGCACATGCCGGCCCAGCCTAATGTCAGTGTCACCTCCGCCCCGCAGACCACTGTCAACAGTGCGTTGCCGCCTATCTCCTCTGTCGCGGGAGCCACTGTTTACAACAACAACGGCGCTCTGCGTTCCGATTCACCTGTTTATGAGGATCTTAACGCCTTCAACACAGCAAACACCACAGCCTCGGCTCAAAATTACACCACCTCAGCCCCAACTATGTCCTTCACCGCTGCGCCACAACTACCCATCTACGGTCAGCCCTCCTCTGCCCAGCATCCGCGGCTCACCACGCTCAAAGAGGAGCCCCAAACTGTGCCCGAAATGCCGGGGGAGACCCCACCACTCTCCCCGATTGACATGGAAAGCCAAGAGCGCATCAAGGCGGAGAGAAAGAGGATGCGTAACCGTATCGCCGCGTCTAAGTGCCGCAAAAGGAAGCTGGAGAGAATTTCGAGGCTGGAGGATAAAGTGAAGAACCTCAAGTCCCAGAACTCGGAACTTGCGTCCACCGCCAACATGCTACGTGAGCAGGTGGCACAACTTAAGCAGAAAGTGATGAACCACGTCAACAGCGGTTGCCAGCTCATGTTGACCCAGCAGCTCCAGACTTTCTGAAGAGGCAGAAGCAGCGGTGGAGACGAGAGAGTACAGACTGTGGTTGAATGAAACGGACTCTTCCTGTAAAGGTGGTCAGCTGCGTCTCCAGAAATCGTGAGGGGAATTGAGGATGATGCGGCGCCGCAAAGGTTGGACCCGCTAAAGTTTCTGTGTGCGACGCGCAGCCCAGCGGCGCGTCCCGCAAAGAAAGGCGTGGGACAGTCCTACAGTGGCCATGAACCAGAGGGGGCATGGCAATATGCAGGATGGCTTTCTGTTTTTGTTTCGTGCTGTTCACAGAACTGGACTGGACTGACCTTTTCTTGATTTACACCCAGCTCTGCACGGACCTTCTCATGGCTACCAAATGAGAATATTCAGTATTAAACGATGTGAAAACCTGAGATAGCCACAACGGCCTGACAACATGGGCGGGTTGGCCATTTCTTTCGGGCTGGAAAGTTGTAACCAAAGCCGCCTGACTTTGACTTTCAGTACCAAGTACTTTTCTTTTCTTTATTGTGAGAAAATAAGTTGGAAAAGCATCAAGATTTACTTGTTTTTCTAACGTAATGGGGTTTCACTCATTGTTATATGTACATAAGATCAACTTTGAGTACTTATGTTTACCATTTGTAACAATACTGTAAGATTTTTTTATGTTGTGTATTCTGAGCACTTCAGAAACTAATATTATATTTAAAAATATTAAAGCATATAAAACCAACATTGTCTCTGTTTCTTGTAAGTCTGTGACAGAAAGAAGTGGGTGTGCCATGTCAGCTGCACAAACAATGAAACATGTTGCAACATGTTGCAAAAGCAGGTAGTATCCAGTACCTCAAGGTAAATTCCATTAGTGCTTATATTGATTGCACCTCAGTGGTTGTCTTAGAGCTGACATATAAGGCTACTCTTTGGGAAATGGGGGATATTTCAGTAAATTGAAATCAAGAGTTGGACTTCCTGAATCATATTATGCAATGCTACATATTACTTCTACACATTACACAAACTATTGCCCTCAACTCTACACAGTGTATACCAATACAAAGTCTGTTAAAACAAACTAAATTTAACATAACAAGAAAAGGTTTTAAGATAAAATACATTGCTGAAGAAAAGTGTGACCAATAGGAAATTTCAGTATTGCACAGTTCTGTAATTCAACATAACTTCCTTTCTTATTGTTAAAAGTGGAAGTCCCAATAAGAAAACAAAAATGTTTCACCTGTTTTAACTATTAGTGCCTATTTCTTTGTTAATTTTAATTTTTTATATATCTTAAGGAAAATATTACATTTCAATTTTATAATACAATTTTAAACATGCATTATCAGTGTGGTATCTCCCAAAAAAAGCATCTACGAAAACTAGGTATCAAAATGTTATGACATATTTTTGCAACAGTGTTAATTTAGATTACCTATTATATAAACTTGGTCACAGTAATACAAAAGCAGTCATAATTGGATGAGGTACATATATAGGAAACATTGCATACATTAAAAATGGTTTGCAAACGCCAAAAGTGATCTTCATGGTAACTTCTATCACTTACTACTATTTCTTAAAACCATTTTTTACATTATTATTATTGTTAATAATAATAATAATAATAATAATAAACATACATAATAATAATTTTAAATTGCATTTATATACACAGACACTGAAATGAGAAAGTTAAAAAAACGGACTTTCAATTATTTATGACACAACAATGTAAAACCATAGAAACGCCAAAAACACACACATTAAGTACAGTGCGTGTGTATTTCAAATTCAACACTAGAGGGAAACACAGGCTAAGTTACCCGTTATATGAAAGTCGATTGCGCCCCATTGCACCACTCATTGTCTCGCCACATCATGACCACAAAATGTAAAATTTTAAAATTTAGAGTACATAAATATTTAAATTAAACTGCAGCGTACTCGGGTCAATTTCGAAACTTTTGTAATATATTATCGCTGATTTGATTGTTACTTTATCAAAAAATCGCTTTTAATCTAATGTGATGTTGATTCAGCTTATCCAACGTAATACATAATAAACCACCACGTTGATAAAAAGAATATATCTCTAATAATCAAAGTCTAAGACAATTAAAATATATAATTACAAAAACTCATAGTGTTAAGGTATATCTGGAATACTTCCATGCGTAAAAATGTGCGTAAATAAATACATCATTTAATTGACAAAATTCGCTTTAAAGTTGTGATCCCTCAAACCTGGAGACGCATGACATCATTCCGGAACGCGGAGTCCTTCCCTTCCATATTAGGAAAGAGCAACATTGGGAAGACCTACGTCAGCGCAGAGGAGGCGTGTTTTAACGGAAAGTGAATCGACTGTGTCAACTACACAATAAGCCGATTCCTGGGAAGTCAGGCGGCAAATGAACCAATCATCAGTCTGTATCCACGTCCCTAGAGTGCTCCACGTCCTTACTGGATTGTCCGAAAACAAGATCTGAATAAATATAACGCCAATCTACTATTTGTTAATGTACCAAACAACTGTAAAGGAATTTTTGAAAAAAAAAAAAAAACTATGAAATTCTAATAAAATGTGGCTGGACTTTTTAGTCTAATCCAAAAAAAAAAAAAGAAAAAAGGAAAAGAAAGAAAAGGTCAGAACCTACTATTAATGTTGAGATTTAATCCAATCAGCAATCTAGAAGGTCAACAGTTAGTGACCTGCATCTTATAGAGTCTTTTATGGGTCATTACTTCTTTTCATTTATAAAAGGTAGTTAGCACAGATAATTATGATAATAAGCTAATGTTATTACGTACTGTCTTGACTACCAACCTGTGATCAAAGTCTCGCAAAGAACAGGTGGAGTCCTATAGATTTATAAAATCTATAAGACTTTATAGCTCTGCTAAGGTTCTGGACATCCTGGAGGCCAGAGGTGAACAAGTGTGTCGAAAGTTGAGAACTGCGCCTGATCCTAATCAGTGGAATACTGATTATGTGAATGACCATATGAAGAACAAGGAGGCAGCTGATTGGGGTTTTTTTTTAAATAGAAAATGAGGGAGAAGCCAAAATAGAAGCAGAAAGATACAAAAAGGTTTAAAGTATTTTTGATTTAGAAGAAACTAAGGTTGGCACTGAGTGTGAACACAAGACTGGTTCAAACTGAAAAAGTAGGAGCAAGAGCAGCAGACTGTACAACAGAAAACCTAATTCACATGATTGCCACAGATGGGAAACTTGTACTGTTGGAGGAACTACTGGAACACACCAACATCAACGTGTCAGCTCGTCCAATGAGAATCATGGCTCAAAACAACAAAACTCATAACCATAAGTCACATCTGTAAAGCACCATGGAATTCCTTTCACACTACCAACTCTATCAACACTGTTTGGTAATCACCATAACCACTATATGACACAAAATGTAAATTAATTAAAGATTTAACAGCTTGAAAACACTCATGCTGGACGCTTAGTATATTGACATCAACTATTAGGATAACCACAACTCACATATATTAAGGGGTTCTTGAAAACTTCTTTGTTTGTTTGTGTTTTATTACTGTCAGCCTGAGGTTCCACTGGAACCGACTGTCACCCAGGCAGTATATAGGGGGTACATTTCAAAAATTACCATGGGACCTACTGTACCAGATGCCCAGCAACAACACTTACCATCGCCTCGTCTGTGTTCGTGACGTCCTCCGAAAAAGTACCGAGCTGGGAGAATTTCACCGTGTCCTCCAGGGGCTCTGTCTGGTTGATGGCCGGTTCCAGTGGTACCTCAGGCTGACGGATTTAAAACAAGCCACAGAAAGTCTCACAATTTAACAACCTCCAACCTCCTGGCTAACATTAGCCCATGTTAGCATGCGAGATACTATCAATTAGCCAGTTCATGTTAGCGCTCGTTCTACACAGCTTTGCTTTATTTAAGTTGTCTATAGTTATTGCTATCAGTGCTAGCACGCTAACCAAACCGATAAGCCGATAGGGGCATACGAAGCTAACTAACCGTAAAAACATACCTCTATGTCCAAGAAGTTCCCAACAGCAATTAAACTCTCCTTTAGCCTAAGTCCGTAATCCTTGGTCAAGTGTGAAAATGTCCGGGCGGGAAAAAATAACATCTTCTCAAAACACTGTGGTAAAGGGGTATGACGTCAAGCTCCGAGGTTGCCAGTTTCACTAATGTCACCCAGGTACATCTTACTTGTATAAATCAATTAATACATTGAGTGACGTTTGTAGTGAATATTACTTTATATTACTTTTCCAACCCTCAGAATGAACCAGAATTCATCGAATGAATTTGAAAGAAATATTTCAGCTGATTCCATTTGCAAATGTCAAAAGGAATTTTTTAATTCTTACTTCGTCAGATTGTACGAACTCAAAGGACTTGAATTCATAAACCAAGAAGCCTGCTCATCACATTAACTGTATAAAGAGATGTGTTGTTAATCAACACTTTATTGTGTTTGTGTGTTATTTTTATTCAATCACCTCAGGATGTAGAGTGGGACCAGTTGACTTCCCTGTACTAGACATTTAATGTTAAAGATCCTGGCAGGACATATGGCTTTTTCAATGGCTAGTTTTTAAGTTAATATGTAAACAACACAAAGATTAAGCCACACAGCTGTACAAAAAATACATTTAAACTAGTAGATCTGCATACAACCCCAAGTACTTACCATTAAATTCCATTTAATAAGCCCGGTCATCTTGCTGTGAAAGAATTAGAGTGATTTATGCTTTATGGACATCATCCTGGACAACACAGAATATCCATTGCCTTTACATGATGTTGTCCTATATTTGATGTATTCCTGTATAAATTATGATCAATTAGTGTGTCTGTTGTAATTCTAAAAGAAAGGAAAATTATAATGCCTGAAACATGAATGTACAATTTAAACCAAACATGATTGTCTAGTGCAGTGGTTCCCAAAAAGGGGGTCGGCCTCCATAGAGGGCGTGTAGGTACTACAGGGGCCAAATACATTTCTATTTCAATCTTGCCTTTTTTGGTCTATAGAGGAATAACTGCACTGATATGTGAATTTATTAATATATAAATGAATTTGTTTAGTCCAATGAGACTATGAGTTTTGTAGGACTTACAGTGTCTAAAATCAACACTTGGCACTACAGAGAATGTTTGGGAACCACTGGTCTTGTGTGAGGCAGCTGTGTAAGTCACATGTAAACTTTTGGAGGTAGTGGGTGTGGTATCTAAAAGACGCTGATACATCTGACGTTAACAGTCTTCTTCAACAAACCTATCTTTTGTTTGAGCTAGTTGTTCTGAAAAAAGTCACTACAAAAGTCAATTTTGACCGTATCCAGAGTTAAATGTCCTCCCCCTATGCCCATGGGTTCCATGCACATGTTAAGACTGGGGAAGAAATTCAGCATTTCTTCATCCTCTCTGTGACTCCACTCCTCCTCCTCCTCCTCTTCCTCCTCCGTTTATCCCAGACCCTGTGTGGAGATGTAGTCCACGGTGGTGTTTGTTTCCAGAGACGTCTGTGTATGGTCGGAGCTGTCTGATTCATGTGAAAAACTTTTGATGTACGTAGTCACAGGGTACAGCAGCGCAGATGATTCTCTGCGTTGGCCGAGCCTCATGTGCGAAGGCTTTTGTGAGAAGGCATTTGTGGAGTTGCAGATGTTGCTGCTCTGATCAGAAAGCTCCACGATATCAACCAGGTCCGGATCCGGTTCTCCCTGGCTTACGCTGGAGCTCATTTGTAGCTGTAGCTTTATTGTACCCTGTTCAGTTAAAAAAAATATACATTTATATTTGTCTGTTTCAATCCCTGCAGTTAGATATACTTCATATTCCTGAGACTTGGAAGATCAGTGTGAGACTCATCAGTCAGACTTTGGACTTTTCATAATTACAATATACTGTATATGAAATGTCTTTCCTCTGATCTCTCAACTTGGAAGGAAAAACGAAAGACAGGCAAGAGTTTGTAAGCATAGTCATTTTTTTCAATAGTTGACAACTTTATATATTTGTTTTACCTTCTCACGGGTACACTCTTTAGCCCATTTGCTGTTTGCGGGATCTGGGATGACATCCAGCATGAGGCACTGAAAATACACCCAGAATCTGAGAAGAAAAAAAAAAGTTTAATATTGCAACAAGCTATCTCTGTGTGACTCATCTATGTGTGATTTTTAAAAAAAAACGAAATCATGTTTTATATTTATCATAAGGTTGTTGGTTATGTTGTCTTCAATAAAAGTTATAATAACATTGATCACAGAGTAGCTTTGACCACCAGGAAGTTGAAGCCTCCGCTGGATGAAATGGTATTTAAAGCTCCCAACTATATATTAGAGCGACAGTAAGTGAATGGACAGAAATATCACTGGATATACAGTACAGTCCATGTGTTTAAATGTGCTGACACAAAGCATTATGGACCTGGCGTAGTAACATCGTGACATCTCACTCAGGTTTGAGGTTATGTTTTCACTTACTTCTGCTTTACTGATGGAATCTGGTACAGGCAAAGCAAAAGCACCAAAACCAAACCGATACCACAGAACACGGAAATGAAGGATATTGAAGTTTCCTCTGCAAACAGAATAAAAGCAAATAGTTCAATGAAGATAACCCTTATGTAAGAATAATAATAATTTATAATCTTTATCATAAAGGTGTGTCTTTGTTCATTTCCGGCTTTGTTAATTTACGCCATTAGGTATTTACTACTGATAGTATTTCATAACTGTGTTTACAAAGGGGGAAGGGAAGTTCAATGTTTTTTGAGTTTTGGATCTTTCTTTAAAGTATGGCTAAGTATGGTAAGTTGTACCATCATTAAGAACAAGGAAGCACTAAAAGAAGCTAAGGTTGCCAAAGGAGTGACTGTGATCAACAAGCAAAGATCTCAGACATTAGAAGAAGTGGAAAGTGGAAGTTGCTACTGATTTGGATCAACGAAAAGCAGTTGTCCGGCGATAGTATTTCGGAGACAATTTGTGAGAAAGCGAAGTGAACATTGCGCAATCGCGACTCCTCAGCAGCAGTAAGGATGAATGAAATTGCTTTTCCTATTTATGGAGTCATTGTTAACTAAGGCATATTGCATTCATGTAAGGTGCCCACCTTGAACAAGGAACCTAAGTCCCTGACTCACTGGGCCTTCTCCTTCAGCAGTTGAGGCAGTCATCCAAAGGTTGTATTCAGACGGAGGCAGATCCTTGATTTTAAATCTTCGAGGTGATGTAGGTGTGGAGTCTGAAAAACCCCAGCAGAGGGCAACATTTCAGTTTATTTACTATTAACCAATGGCTAATTAAATGTCAGTGACGTGACAGTTTATGAATCTGTAAATCTTAGAATATGAATAAGATTCATACTTTGGCAAAAATCCGATGTGACGGTTTATGAATCTGTAAATCTTATAAGATTCATACTTTGGCAAAAATCCGTTTTTCTCAACCTTTAAAAGAAGACAAAATTTGTATCCCCCCAATTTTTCAATTATTCAAAGACTTTTGTTGTTAGAACTGTGTATATATCAAACATTTACCTATGTGAATTAATAATATTAATAATATTCAACAACTCCATTATCAATATTGCATATCAATTGGACGCATTGTCTTATTGGTTCTCATTTGGTTAAGAAATAAAATATAGCACCGTAGCACTACAGAACTTTGTCACCATAATTAATATACGGTATAACAGAGGTATACACTAACGTTTTGAATTTGATTTATATATTGAAACTGTTATGGAAAATTCTCAGCAGTTATTAACACACAAATACAAAACACACAAATATAACAAAACTCTTCTCACAGTTAAGCTGGTGTCCACTGCTGGTCTTTAAGTAGATGGTATATTTTGTGATGCAGCCTCCTCGCATGTCTCTGGGAAGCTCTGTCCACGACAGTTTCAACGTATGTCTGGTAATCTCCATCTGGACCGAAGGACCAACCTTTGGAACTAAAGAGAGCAAATGCAAAACAAATATTTTTTATTAAATAATAATAATTAAAAAAACATAAATAATAATAATAACTGAGTCCATTATTCATTCCACAATCTTTGCAACCCACTCAGAGGTGCCATTTGGAATATGTGGTTCCTCTGGGGTTCGAACCCAGGACACTTTGCGTGTCAGGCAGATACGAAAGGCAGGCATGCTAACTGCTACACCACAGAACCACGAACGACAAGCGAGTAAGAACGGCCACGGTGACGTTTCATGATCACTTACTTGACTCAGCTGCTGTGATGCCTCCAAATTCAGTCCTAGAGGCTGAGCTCTGGTTGAAGAACACATACAGTGCTCCCTTATAGCACACAAAGGGTTGAACACCTGCAGGAACAATTACAGTGGTGAACACTTGATATCATTTTACCACTTTAAATTGACTTCAAACACAGTCTCACCTGTGATGACTGCATGATTGGCCTCCCTGTTCAGTCTGGTCCATCTGAGCTCCTCCAGTTTCTGACCTTCAGGGTACCACTCCAGCACGAACCAAGAGTGCCGAGCTGCCATTTCGAGCATTCTCCAGGAGGTGGTGACATTTTGTTTTCCTGTTATTACTGTCACATCCTGAGAGGACTCTATTGAGTCATAGAGAGTGTGCATGAGTCACCGCTGGTGTAAAAGACTGAACACACACTTCACCAGACTGCTGACTCCATGTTTTACTAAAACACCTTTCAAGACTCAGCTTCCGCTCACCCAGACCTGCAGTTTTGTTGTTTTTACCTGTGATTTGTGGTGCTCTAACACTGGCAGGAGGTGATAATCCTTTGGAGTTGCGAGCCCACACTGTCACTTCACATTTGTCACAGGTGGTTGGCGAATACGTCCTGACATCACCGGGAACATTAATGACCTGCTCCGTTCCAGAGTCTGGACTGTAAACCCTGACTCTGTACTCTATGATCTTCCCTCTTGCACTGGACTTATCAGGTTGCTGCAATTTAGAAACAAAATTGCATTCAAAATGTGACTGGTGTTTCATCAGAAAAGACTTAAAATGTACAGCAAGAAGAGGGAGTGAGACATTGTTTCTTTTCAGCCACTCTTTTCTTGTAAACTGAAACTTTCGTGTCAGCAGACAGGTTTCACTTACCTTTCCCGGTTTGATTCTCTACCGTTGTGTAAGTGTGTGCTTCCTACCAGAAGTGGTCAAGAAATGACCTTTTAAGTCAGATGCGGTAGTGAAACATTTCAGTTCAGAATGTCTCACTGTGATCTCCGTAATGGAATCCTAACCCAAACCAAACATACGCTGAGAAGCATTTCCAACCTCAACCCTCATCTTTTTATCTTTTGTTTTACAGCTAAACCCTGAATCACGCACATGGTTGAGACTTTATCCCAACAGCAATAATTCACTGATAGAGATAAACATTAACTCCTCCTGACAACTCGAGTACAGTCATTGTCTAAGAGAATACATACATCCTCATTTTCACTATCAGAATAAACAGTAAGGCAGCATATAAATAAACAGCAGTAGTCAAATGGTTTCAAAAATGGTTTTGGTTAATTGACCTTGTAGCAACCTTTTAGCACCAGAGGATATGACACAAGTATAATCTACTAATGTCTACACAATGACGAAAGATGAAGTGTTTTGACTTGTCCTCAGAACAGAGAGACAAATACACCTGCACACACACTCAAGAAGGGGGAAAAAAACAAAACAAAACGTACCTTCCAGTAAACTCTTGGGGTTTTTGGAGCAGTTGCTGATTCAGCATACCACACGTCCAACCCTTCTGTAGGAGCTAAAACAACAAGAAACAATAAAGATCTCATTGGTCTTTTAGCTTCAGATATAAAGAACGACGTTATTTTATTTTAACAGCAGCAATATTGTTTTGTGTAAATATTTACATCAGAGTGCTGAGCAGATGTTTTAGGCAGGTGTACAGATTTACTGTTTCCCAACATTTAAGGAAAGTAGGAAAGCAAAGTGAACTCCTTGTCGTTGTGACATTGTGACACACACCACTGCACACAACCAAATGCGACCTCTGCATTTAACCCATCACCAAAGTGAACAGTGTGTGGGGACGGTGCCATGCTCAGAGCACCTCAGTGGTAACTTGGCAGCTGGTGGCTTCGAAACTGTAACATTCTGGACCCAAGACCTCTTTCTTAACCACTGAGCCACAACTGCCCCTGAGCAACTGTTTGTCTTTTTCCAAGTATTTAAAACAAATTTGGATCACCGCAAGTTGTTGCGACAACAGCGGCAGTGGTAACGGCTGCAGTGCGTGATGGGTGATATGTAATAAAAAGGCAGTGGAGGAAGTGCAATAAGGGGTGCCACCCTGTAATATTTATACCAGTTGTAGGAAGTTCTGCAACAGATGTGATGCACATCAGAGCAATACGGAATTTATGTCTAAACAATGACTTCAGGGCGAAAAAGATTGTGTGTTGTAATTGCAACCACATTTGAGGATTCTGATCAATTCCCGTTTACATGAGGTTCCTAAAGAAAATCACTGTCCAGGCATGAGTTTGCTGTCAAAATGAATGCTGGCCACAGAATGAAAAAAAAAACAATGTCTGATAAGGTTAAGGTTAATTAGTGGCCTTTTAAACATCAAAGAAGTGAGTGTTTGTTTACCAGTTGAAATCTATTCATGTTTCCGTTGCGAGCCATGACTGTTGTTTACAGCATGCAGCGCAGCTATTCTCCGACTGCGACCAACAGCCGTTTGTTACATTGTTCTATCAGACAAATGTGTGAAAACGCATTTAACACAATCATACCACACACGCCATTATCTTAAGATCTCCAGCCACTGACAAAAACCTTTCCTGTGTTTATTAATGATTGTACTGCATCAGTGTTGTTCACCCAGAAACACTACAAGCAAAATCTACTTGAAAAAAAAAAATCAAAAATCAAATGTTCATTCACTGCTTTGGTTTTTCAGAACACATAAACAAGGACTTAAAAGCTTAGAGGGATCTGGTATAAGCAGAATGATCACACATGGTCTGATACCATGAACAGATAAACGACCACAGAGATAAATGTCAACTCTTTCTGTGTGCCTTTCTTCAGACACAGACGCAACGTAATGCAGTAATTTAATTAAAAAAAAAAAAAAATGCCTTTCTTCAGACACAGACTCAACGTAATGCAGTAATTTAATAAAAAAAAAAAAAAAAAATCAGAAAAGACTTACGTTCCTCTTCAGTCCAGCTGGACACGTTTGTGCTCCACTCACTCCACCGTCCGGTGCTGAATTTGCATCGAGCTCTGAAATAGTACAGCGTGTAAGGCTCCAGAGAGGAAACTGATCGCTTCTGTAGTGTGCCTGTCACCATATCCTGTGGATAAAAATATATTTAGATATTTCATCCTTTGCATGTGGTAAAATGTATGCATACATTTTGCTGCTAATAGACAATTAATGACACAATCCAAACAACATGGGAGAGGAGAACTCTAGAGAAAGTTAGATGAAGTGGTAAAAGTTCTCTCCAGAACAGAGAGAGCAGTGATGGGTGCAGCCTTCATCTGACATTTCAGTGAAGGTATTAATAAAGGCTAGCAAAGAGGATAAAGATGGCTATGATCAACTTCCCATTTTTAGGAGGAGAGTACATAAGTATAGAGATACATAACACAACTAGAAAAAGAGAAGTGGTGCAGAGACAAGCTCTTCGGTGGAAGATGTTATCAGGACATACAAGAGGGCGAGGAAAGAACAGCTAAGATGCTAGGATGCTAGGAAAAGAAAAAAATTAGGAAACATTGCTGGTAGAGCAATGACGTTTATTTTATCGGGTTCTGTATATCTGAATTTCTGAATGTCCTACTTGGTCTTGATAAGATGTCCATGTCTCTTTTCCGTCGTTGTACTGTATCTCCAGGTGCTCGGTTAAAACACGCTGCTCTACTTCGATGATGCACCTCTGGGACGAGCACACGGGCTGCACAAGAACGGGAGCTGGTGGTGTGGCTGCGAAAAGACAGGATCTTTTTATTTGGATTTTATTTGCTCAAAAACCAACAATGTTATTATGGCAGGGAAACAGAAGAAATGAACGTAAGTCGCACTTTTTTTCATCCTTTGGATGGGTTTGCAACTTATACACATGTGCAACTTACATATTAAAATATATAATTTCACGTTTGTTATTTTCACACTGCCAGCCGCTAGAGGGCACTCTAAGCGTGTGTACCAGGATCTGTTACTCCTGTACCGCTGAAAATGTACATGTTCGTTATTTACACCCCAACAGCCGCTAGAGGGCACTGGTGCGACTTATACTAAGGAGCGACTTATAGTCCAGAAAATACAGTGGTGTAATAACTAATGTAAAACCGACAATCACCACATTATACACTGTGTCAGGCTTCATCGGTGCAGAAATGTTTAGGACTCTTGCCATAGAGAGAACACTCATCTGATCCCCAATCTTTCTGTTTGGAAATTAGAATTTCTCCAGCACAAAATTATACAGGATTAGGTTAAGGCGACCCTATGTCCAGTCACCGAGAATTCTATTGTGGTCGCCTGAATTAGTAATTCAAGTAATTGATCAAAAAATGACAGCTGCTAAAATGTCTGTGGGGTCACCAAAAATTTGTGATGTCAAAAAAGGGTCACAATTTTAGTTCAGGGGCCACATACAACATGAAGTGTTTGTGTATTTTCTTTACTTTCAAAATTCATTAAACGGGTCAGATTGAAACCCCAAGCGGGCTAGATGTTTGACAGCCCTGCTTTAAATGGATGAAGGCTTGTTTGTCTCTAGGGTACATAGCCTCATCCAGTGAATGCTAGGATTGACTGAACCCCCGAAAACCATTAAAAAGACTTTGAACATGAATCAATACAATGCAGACTGCCCAGAGCAGCCCTCTTACCAATGTCACTGAGTGAGTAGGTTTGAACAGAAGACACGGCTGTTCCTAGTGGGTTCTCGGTTTGTACCCACACATGGATCTGCTGGACAGATCTGGGTACAGTGACACTACAGGAGAGTGATTTGGATCCTCTCCTGAAGACGTTCTCCAGTTTACTAGTGTGATTTCCTGACACCGTCGTCAGCCTGAAACGTATCGTTGGTCAACATGAACAGATCACTCACAGCTGCGGCTTGTTTCGATAAAATGGCTTCCTACACCTCACCTTAGCTGTGAACTGTCCATCAGATGAGTTTCTCGTCCTCTCTCCCAGGTGCACCGCACGTCTCCACTCTCATTATTCATGACCTTGTAGATGCACAAAATCTTTCTAGGATCATCTGGTGGGTCTGGAGGACGAAGGCAGAAAGACAGAGAGGTTTTTCTTTTTTTTTTTTTTTTTACTCTAAATATAGCGTAAGTAAAAATCCATTTTCAGCTTTGATATAAATAAATCGTCTGTTCAGACTAATTTCTTTCAGTCTTTTTTTTTTTTATTTTTTACACCTTTCCGTTTAGGTGCTGAACTAAGTACTCATAAAAGTGGCTTCTCTTAACTTCTGTATATGAAACTGGTCTGTGGTCACAATAAGCAACGCTAAACTGTACTTACTTTTCACCGTATTAACAGCCTGCACTATGAATAGACGCAAAAGAGGAAGCAGCTTCTTTTCTTCGTACATCAAATGTTACATTAAAAAAAAGTTAAGGTCAATGGTAACCTAAACAAAACAATGTTGCTTTGGTTAAAGAGAAAGGACAACAACATGTTAAAAATATACACTTTTTAATGCAGTCACTCTAAACTTTATATAAATGTCCACAAAGACGTGAAACGTTTTACTTACAGCCAACTGAGATGTCCAGTCCACAGGGATCCAGTGAATGTTGGCAGTCACAGCTACAGCTGAAGGTTCTCTTTTCTGTGATGTTCACCACATTTATATACACAGTTGTTGAATTTACATCTCTGTGTTTCTGCTTCATGGGTGGCTGCCCGCTGTACATCAGTCTCTCACACTTGCAGTTAAAACTGCAGTAGACCTTGAAGTCAGAGTTTCTCTGTACCACAGCTCCAGCGCTGGACCAGATGACACAGGATTTTTCTCCTAAAATGAAAACATAACACCTTTAGTAAATGTAAATATCGAACTCTCTCTCTCTCAGCAGGTAAAAGCAGTTTGTTTTTCATCTACATTTATTACTACACAGACTATTCGTACAAAAGGACAGCAGTGAAGTATTCAGTTCTTACCTGTGCAAAGCTGGAGCAGCAGCAGTGTAACAGTGATGAAGATGGACCATGATGGAGACATGGTGATTCATCTGTTACTGTCTGTCCAATCCCCTCACATCACAGCAGGTGCTGGTACGTCCATCTTGAACCAGCAGTGCAGTAAGTGCAGCAAACACATGAGGTGGTCAAAGGAAGTGCTCATGTCCTGAAATACAAATCACACTTGTGTTAAACCAAGTTCCTTCTTTTGTTTTTGTTGCTGTGTTATTACAGTAAGTCACATGTACGTCCGTGTGTGGTAAATAACGTGGAGCGAGAGAGACACTCACCCATTCCACTCACAAAGACATCAGCGCATGGTGTCTCCGTTTGACATTCTACACCATCTGTCCTCACTTCAGTGTGTCCTGCCTTCTGAGGTAAAGAAGAATTGCACACACACACACACACAGACAGGAGCTGCTGCTGTGTGACTAGCTCCGCCTATGGTGAAACAAGTTCAGAGTAAATTCGACAGTTCACACAAGCACCCACCCACCCACACTTATATATACACACACAGACGCACACAAAAACAGACACAACAGACCTTTGTATGTCTATGGGAGAACATTTCTGTTTAAAAATAGGACTGTCTGAATTAAATCTGATGTTACATTCGGAAACATCACACCTGTGACAATTCAACTTCACTTTAAACCTTCTCTCAGGCCTTAACATGAGGGTCGATGATGTTCATATTGGTACAGCATAACAATTCAAATGGAAACAGTGACAGTGATTGCATGAACAAGTTCATTCAAACTGGAGTACATTTCTACTGTTTATTTTATACATAGTTTATACTAAGACAACGGAGGTGTGGTTTTACCTTGACGTAAAATGATGTTTTAATGGTGAGTGTTACTGTAAAGAAGAGAGCTCACTCGACATTGAAACGTCTCAAGGTAAAATTACACCTGGGTTGTCTGAAAATTAACTCAGTGGAATACGTTTTTGTAATGGTTTAACTTACAAAATGGAAAAATGAAACTCCATTGAATACATTTCCTTATTAATCCCACTTTGTAATCCTACATTTAGACGTAATAGCCAAGGATCACATATACTATATACAGTATATACTATATAAATATATACATATATACATATATATAAATATATACATATATATTTACATATATACAGTACATATATATATATACACACTGTCTATTGGCCCTAACAATGACACAATATTGTTTGCGTTGTGTTGACATAAGAGAGACCCTCTAGACCAGAGGTCACCGACCTTTTTGAAACAGAGAACTACTTCACGGGTACTTAGTAATGCGAAGAGCTACTTGTTTGATACAGACTTCCAGAACAAACCATACAGTAGTAGACACTCTAGATCACCATAGTCATTGCATCCACTTGAATATCACTGCCAGTGTAACTGATTCAAAAAGCACAGTAACAGTACAGTTTTGGACCCTCTTGTTAGTAGGTAGTCCACAGGGGCTACCAGGTGACCCTGGGCACCACGGTGGTGACCCCTGATCTAGAGAGTGTGATTTGACTACCACTGAAGAAGTCAGACAACTTGTCCCAGTCCTAAAAAATAAGTGCAAAGGTTTTGAAGGTGATTGGCTCTGATGAGGTTAAAGTTAAGGAGCTATTCTGACATTAACCTGTTGCGGGTAAACTCCCCAAAAATTGTATTTATCGTTTTTATCTAGCACTGTTGTGATGTCAAATGGGTCGTAAAGGGACTTTGGACTGATAAACATGGTTAAGGACAAACACTAAGGTTATGAAAATAACTTTCCACATAGCCTACAAACACGGTAAGCACGGTAATTACCAAATATATATAACAATTTACAAAATTTGACAAATTTCTACGTTCTTTTTTTGCCATTTAGTAATAGTAGTTTATCTGGATTATTGTGACTTAATTATAATCAGAATCATGATTAATCCATAGATACCATATGATAAATCAGATCAAAAATGTATATAATTTGACAGCTCTGAAATACATATATAATTCTTGTTCAAGCAGTCTTTATATAATGCTGTTTTTACTTCCATGGTTGCAGCTAACGCTGTGTTACACAAAGGGCAGAGCTGCTGACAGGTATTTGAGGAAAGTAACCTTTAGCCAGTAAAGTCTCCACCGTTCTCTGAGACAGACAAGTGTCTGCCATGTCTGCCATGGTCATGTCAGCGTGGTGGAACTTCACAGGGGGGTCGTTGACTTCACCGTGGCTCTGCGTCTCCATTGTCCCCTCACAGAAGTTTATCTTTGATACAGCTGTTGTGTGAGAAGGTCTAGGCCACGAGCCATCGCTAACGGAACTGATATCTGTTCCCTTGGGTACAGCGGGACAATCCACTTCCACACTGGAGAGCAAGCCTCCAAATGCACTAGGACAGACTTCCTCCTTCACACATGCTGCCACATCCTTTTGTTCTTCTTCTTCTTTGTCTACCTGCGAAGCCAACTCACCAATATGAGGCTTGTAGCTGGCGTGGTGCAGCTCACCAACAACAGGCACCGTCCCAGTTTCTGTGGCTAAAACAGGCATCTTTACTGAACCTTGTTCCAGTCGTTTCTGCGACACTTGAACGTGAACATGAATGATGGGGTACATGGCCTCCCTCTCCTCCCAGGAGAGCAAAGTGATGGGGGAAAGCAGAGGGTCACTGTCAATGGACCCGAAACAGGGTTCACATCTGTCCTGCTGGAAACATAAAGAATACAGGATGATGAACACGGGTTGCTGAATGATGGGTTCCCACTACATGCCTTCGGTTGCTTTCATTTCGGCTGCAGCTGAAACAACCTGAAACTCCAGAAATCACGTGAGGTCGTGTTTTGACTTCATGTAGGGACAATCAGCATTTAAGTACCTAACTGCATTTACCCTGCATGAGGTAGGTCTATGCTGAGGTACAGAGGTAGAACGATGCTGCAGCGCCTTAGAACTACATCAGTGTCAGAGTGGCATGGAGGAGTATTACACCAACTGGGGTAAAACTGTGATTTCTGTGTTATTGATGGCTCTGTAATTAGCTTAACTGTCAACCATTCATATCAATGGCTAGTGCTTTTAAGATTAGTTCAAAGGTAAGGGATTGTGTGACAGTCTAAACAGTTGTGATTATTAGCTGGCTTCTATTACCTGTAGCAGTCGAATGGCATTGCTGTTTCCAGGCTTTGGTAAAGTGTGACTAAGCCATGCAGGTCCCCAGGATAAACACCTTTGTTTAATCCTGCAAAAGAGTGCATTTGTTTATTTGAATACTATAGCTGCTACAATAGGACATGGCACAAACAGTATATTTATTATTGTTATACTTTGGAGATTTGTGAACAACAGTATGGTTTCATGCCTAGGAAGAGTACCACAGATGCAATATTTGCCTTGAGGATGTTGATGGAGAAGTACAGGGAAGGTCAGAAGGAGCTACATTGTGTATGTGTAGATTTAGAAAAGGCATATGACAAAGTCAGGAGTGGCAGAAAAGTATGTTAGATTGGTGCAGGACATGTATGAGAATAGTACAACAGTAGTGAGGTGTGCTGTTGGGAGGACAGAAGACAGAAATAGCCACCAGCTAGAAGAGAACCTAGAAAGGTGGAGGTTTGCACTAGAAAGAAGAGACATACATACATACAGGAATACATATAATATAATAATTTATGAAATCAAACAACACTTTTTCAAAATGAATACTGAAATACTATGGTTTAATACCTTTTTCTAATACACCTACAGCAAATGAGGCTGACTATGATTGTTATGCAGAAGGTGATAGTGACAACAACCTCAATCACAAGGCCTGCTGGTGATGAAAAAAAAACACAAGAAGAATTATGATTACAATATTATTACAATAATAATTATTGTAACAATATTATGATTACAATAACAAAAACCCCAACATTACACCATTTTCACTCTTAGATTTAACATTCAGCAGATATGAGTTATAGTGGAGCCACTGAAAAAAAAACCTGCAGGTTGAGATACAATCCTGTTGCTCCGTGGTCCTTCTCCTGCTAGAGTGGACGCAGTCATCTGTAGAGACAGAGTCCCCTCAGGACATTCCACCCACATCTGTTTGGGAAAAGCCGGCAACATCACTAGAAAAAGAAAAATGGAACTGAACTGTGAGCGGGTCCTTAGTGGCACGTCACAGGGCCGTAAACTGAGACAAAAACTCACATTTACGATCACGATCAATTGAGACCTGAATCAGTCTTTACACCAGGGGTGTCAAACACACAGCCAGCGGGCCAAAACTGGCCCACTAGTGGGTTCAATCTGGTCTGCTTGATGGATTTTGTATGAAATATGACTATTTTCTACTATATATTTGTACCTACTTGCATGAAAACAAAGGGGGGAAACATGGACTTATTTTTATTTATAGGTAATTCTGTTATGATTGTACTTGTCCAGCCCCCCTGACATCTGCTCAGACTGTATCTGGCCCCTGAACCAAAATGACTATGACACCACTGGTTTAGACTGTGTGAAGAAAAGCCTAGATTCTCAGTCAAAGCAGAGTGATTAGGGTTCATCAATATCCACAATATCTCAACATCTCTATCAGTAGTGTGTGTGAATATGTGATAGTGTATAAGAAAAGCTATCTGACACCTGTCACACAGAGTTTTAAAAATTGGTGTGTGAAGCAGAAAGGTTAGCCGGTTAACAAGGCTTTGTGTTTGCATGCTTGCACATGCCACATGACTTCCTGTTGGTGGTCAAGAACAGTTCTAGATAACTATGATTCACTGAAGACGATCACAACCACAGTGTGGAGCAGCCCTGTGTGCTCACTGCTGCGCACCAGCTTTACTGTGTTCAATCAAAGAGATCAGATAAAAGGGAGGCTTTGAACGCTTGCGGCTCGTTTTCTCGATCAAATCTCAAGGCACTCACACTTTGTTATGAATATCACCAATGAGATGATCTCGTCATTCAAAACATCGTCGCAAAAACAAAAACTACCAGCACTGCAAACTTTACAATTACTGGAACCATGAGGAGAAAAACCCTGCTGATGTATCAAAGCATTGAGGGAGGGGAGTAATTCTGGTTTCACTTTTTCCATTACACCAGTCACTCGTGCTGACGCAAAATCTGTGAATGACTGTTGGAATGAGGGTTGGATTTACACATATTTGTGTAAGAGTTTTTAATACTTGATATTTCTGAGGAATAATATTCCCAAAACATTGATTTTAATGTTATGACAGATACGTACATAATACAATGTTTATTTTGTATCCTTTTTTGGTTTGGTATTGTGAATAAACTTTAGCTAATTTTTGTTTTTTAGTTAAACTATATGCTAGAATCTTTTATGGCACCTTCTCAGAGAAGGTAAATGTGCTCTTCCCCTATTTCTCAGAAATAAGGTCGCAGACAAATTTACAATGTTTCTACCTTTCAGCAGTTTAGGGTCATGTGATGTGTTTTATCTTTCCATCTAAACAGAGCAGTAAGAAAACAATAAACATTACAAAATGGATGAACAAAAAAAAAGGAAACCTGATTGATTTTTATCTGTTGTGATTCCTGCAATGTCTTAGTGAATTGAAAATGTTGGTGATTTAATGTGATTTATTCATCTGTGACTCTGTGTCAAGGGTTCTTGAGACAATCGTCATTCGCGCACTCATACCTACAGATAAATAAACTCCATGGAAAAAACAAAACAAAACAAACAAAGTGCCCAGTTCTTCTTACCCCTGAGCTCCTTATCGCCGGTGTCCAGAGCTTGTATGTAGAGGGTGTAGTTTCTAATGAAGCCTCTTTGCTGGTTTACAGGCAGCTTCTCCCAAAGAATCTTAATCATCTTGTTCTCATGGCCCAACACTGACAGGTCGGGGCCAGATGCTGGTTCTGAAAAAAGAAAAAAATCACAAAGGAAAGGATGGGACATGTGCATGATAAACACCACGTTAACATAAGAATAATTAAGCCTTACTCTGTTCTTTGGAGTAGACCAAGGTAGATGATGGACTGCTAACACCCCCGGTGGTCACGGCATATAGAGAGATTTTGTATCTGACACCTGCAGTTAGACCTAAAACAAGAGGAGTTATGTTTAATTTACTGCGCAAAAATACTGTATAATGAAAAATAGAATTAAAACATTTTAAATCTATATATATATATAAACTCAAGGTGAAGTAGCAACAATTCCCTCCAAGAAATAACTGCATAAACATGCTAAATTAACACCTGTTGAATAGCTTGGTTCATAATGGCCGGTTTACGTGACTTAACTTTTTTTTTATTTTTCAAACTAATTTTGTTGTTTGAGCCAGAGTCAGACAAGAACAAGAATAAGTCTCAGAAAAATCTTGAGATTTGTCTCAAAATATTACTGTATTACTGATTATTGTAAAGGAAAAATACTTATTTAACAGAACATTTCCTTGCAGAAATTGCAGGCTCTGATAAGCTGTTCACTTAATCTGCAGGTTTAGCAGCCCAGTGTTCTACCCTTTATAAAAACAAATGATTGTATCAAAACAATAATACATCTGAAAATAAGAGACATGCTTATTCACGGGGTAAAATATTCTGCTTGTGTCATGCATTGTTCTTTGACTCGAGCCGTAAAATGACTATTGTATTTAGCTTTATTCAGTATGCTAAAGCAATTGTAGCTGTTGTTCGATAATAAACCACAAGAGGGCGCTGTCGACATAGCTTGGTTTTTAGCCACGAGGGAATCTACAGTATTTTGTATTACAAAGACAAAGACGATGATGTGTGTGTGTTCCTACCTGTGATTAAAGTGTTGTCTTCATTTTTGTCAACCTCTTGCCATTGTGGCTCTGTTTCAGGTACGCTCGTCCACTCTAGCACATATTGCAGAAGTTCTCCAGATGTAGACCAGTTTTTAGTTCTTGGCCCAAACCAGGATACCCGCACAGCTATGCCGTTAGCAAAGGGAGTCGGGTCTCTCAGAACAGGTCCGAGGTCACCTGAACAGCAAAAATGTTCTGTTTACTTTTTTAATGACTGTATTTGACATGCTGGGTTTTGGCATATGGTTAGGTCATGCAAAGAGGACATAATGTGACAGGAAAATAGTAAAAAAAACTGTAAAGGAAATTGTATAAATGTAGAAGCAAAGTGCATTAATTATTCTGAAAGAAACATACATGTATGTATATTTTTGGAAGAGGAGATCTCAAATATGCTATGCTAAGGAATTTGAGTGAGGTACAATTAGTTCTGGTTTCAACGAGTTTCAACGTATCAGTGAAGAAAGGTAGTAAGAGTAAACGAAAAGATTGAACATGAATATTTTCATGTCATAACATTTTACAGGTGTATACAACGCCAAATATGAATGCAAAGTGATATGGCAGAGTGAAAGAGCAGAGCGGCACGCACTATGGAGAAACCTAACCACTAATGACAAACACTTAAAATTAGCAAACAATGTGTCTGTGGGCTAATGTCCCACTGAAATCTCCTGGTTTCTACGTATGTGGAATCCATACTCATGATGAATCCATACTCATGATGAATTCATACTCATGATGAATTCATACTCATGATGAATTCATACTCATGATGAATTCATACTCATGATGAATTCATACTCATGATGAATTCATACTCATGATGAATTCATACTCATGATGAATTCATACTCATGATGAATTCATACTCATGATGAATTCATACTCATGATGAATTCATACTCATGATGAATTCATACTCATGATGAATTCATACTCATGATGAATTCATACTCATGATGAATTCATACTCATGATGAATTCATACTCATGATGAATTCATACTCATGATGAATTCATAGTCATGATGACGGCAGAAATAATAGAAGAAGAAGAAATGACTGCGTTTGCCTTCTCCACCGTAATGCTTTCTCTACCTGAGTGTCCAAGCGGCACATTAGCTGGTGGGGAAGACCCATACAAGGTGACAGCACTGATGCTCACTGAATGGACCTCTGCTGGTACTGGTAGTGAACGTGAACTTGCAGGACAGACGACGTCCTCCATATCATTCCTACTCAGAAAAACTCTGTACTGGTAAACATCACCGCTGTAGTCCTGTGGAGGTGGAGGCTGTGGAAGCAAAAACACATTCATCATGGAGCAGCCATGCTGTGATATTAGTTTTATATATACTGCAACTGATAGAATGTATTTGACATGGTTGTATTTTCACAACTTTTTAAAAAGTGCATTCATAAACGATTACTTGCAACAGTAAATAATTTATAATTTCACTTCAGGCATACAACTTCATGCAGGCCCTGTGACCCTTTGGCGCCCCCCAGGGGACGCGCGCCTCACCTATTGAAAACTACTGTTATATATGGTACATACAGTATACAGTATATACATATATATATATGTATTGTATCTCAATTGCATTTTACCCATTAAAAATAACTAAAACCAATTAATTCATTTTACCCCAAGACATATACCATATTATTTTAATTAATCCACCCCCCATATCAACATCATAGATATAAACAAATATATTGATAATATAAAAAATAATAATTAAGGAAACTTTTATGTTATTGTTATATAAAAATGGGTAAAAAAAACCAGCGTGGGACAGTGAGTGAGAGGAAAAAAGGAGATCGATTGAGCACTCGCAACTGGATGTTTCCTCGTATCCTGAGGAAAATATCGCAAGTTGCCTACTCCTAACTTGGAGAAGCTCATATCTCTAAGCCCCGTTGCAGTACATAAAATATAAGTCTGTTCTAGTGAATGTACTGTTGTCACATTTCAAATTACAGTATTAAAATATATAATGACTTGTGAGTAAATAGTAAACAATAGTAAGTAGTAATATGTCAGTAGGCTTTATCAGAACGTCCTATTTTACTATGTCGCTCACAGCAGTTGCTTTCAGAGACTCTTATCAACACCATGTGTTCCACGTATTAAGCAGCTGGTGATGTCATCGCAAACCACATGCGCATCAGTATTTTTTCAGTACTAACCACACATCCTGCCCAAAATCCCCAACAGTGTTGCTCCAACAGATAAAGGTCTAGAGTGTTAGTGACACCATACGGCGGGAGCACTGCAACACATGCACTTCCTCTTTCTTTGATCCTAAGTGTTGCTAGACCTACGTAGGACGCTTTTACCCACAGTGCAACGTTTCATTTCCAATTTCACGCATAAATTTAAATGAAGCAAAAATGAGTCAGAAACGTCTATCCATGCATTATCTACTTGAATTCCTTTGCAGGGTCGCGAGGAGACATAGTTATACACCGGACAGGTCACCAGTCCATCGCAGGGCCAAATATCAAGGCAAACAACCATTTATGGTCACATTTTTTCCTATGGTCATTTAGTGTCCAGTCAAGCTGAGTCAACAGTAACCAGTGCCTGCCTGAGCTTCAGCAGTCTGTCCTATTAATACTTAGTAGTTGTTGTAACAGCTTCAAATTAATAGCATAAGCTGCTCAACCAACTACAGCTGGTAAGCTTGCTTATGATTGGCCAGAAATGCTGCTAATAGCAGGTGAGTCAAGGAGACACTTCCTCCATTGGTGAAAACACGTTGTCACCCTGGCCCGCCTCCACATCAGTGGTTCCTTCATTGTCACCCTGATTTAAGGCCCGCCTCCACATCAGTGGTTCCTTCACATTAGAACAATACATTTTTTTTAACATAGATCGCAGGGAGGCCACTGGTCAACCTACTGCAGCTAGCCAGTTCCTTTTAAACCAAACTCTGATACCCAATGTTGTACGGAACTCATGAGAGATCGAAGCAATATTTTTGGGGCCATCAAGAGAACGTTCTCTCAGTTTGCAAAATCATGCTCTCGTTTACTAAATCACACACCTGTGTAAGTTGAGCGTGTGCTCATTTTATTAGATCGTGCACTTGTTTACCTAAATCAAGTGCACGATCGGTATTTTACAGAATCGCGAGCTCACTTTACTAAATCATGACCTTGCTTATTTACAACATGCTCTTGTTTTCTTCTACCTAAAACTGGCACATGATGAGGTAAAACTCTGAGCACAATTTGTATAAATCGTACAAACTCTGTTGCTGGACTGCATTTAATTAATTGTAAATACTCAGTACCTTCCATAAAACAGTCACGTTTTGAAAGCTGTCGACTGTCCTCCACACAACCAGGGGCTTAGATGGACCTGATGATGAAGTCAAAAGACAACAAGTATATTCATATTATTATTATTATTATTATCATCTGACACATTTTATACAATAATTAAGTAATTGGAGGTTAACATTGGAGAAAAAAAAATTTGCCTTTTCCTGGGCTTCGTCCCATCACAGATGGGCTCCACTTGCTGCACAGTGACCGACTGCTGGGTGTGAAATCGGCCTCAGTGATGTGCTTGAGTCGTGACGTGGAGTTGCATGTCCTCAACTGGAACTCATAGTCAGTCAAAGGCTTTAAGTTATCCACTCTTATCAGGGTATCATTGAGCTCTGTTTCCTCTCTCACTTCCTGTAACAAAGAGCAGGTAAAAACATTGCGACACATCTGATAGTGACTATACTAATGACGGCCAAACACCAGGGTTCGAATTACATGAACTACTTCGTGCCAATAGGGGTGGTCTCTTTGGATTTTCTGAACTAAACATAATAAAACACGCTGGTGCATGTTTATTCACTGTCTGCGTTAACAAACACAATGCTGTGTCTATTTTGTGGCCAGCGGGTGGCGCTGCAGGCTACTTAAATCACTACGTTTCTACGTTGTTACGTACAGTAGTTACGATCTTCTCTTCGACAATTTCTCTTCACTGAAGTGGCGCCGCCGCTATGTTGGCGTCCACCAGTTGTAGAAGTGATTCAGGGAACGCCCAGCAATAAAATAGAGCTCCCCAGAAAAGTCACGGTGTAATTCGAACCCTGACCAACACAACACTGTCAATTTACCCAGGAGCCATTTGGTACGCGCAGTCTGACGGAGGGCCTCAGGTGCGCCGAGTAATCTGTGGTGTTCCACTGCAGATCTACTGCCACGAACGTGTTCTTAAACCCTATATGTGTGATATAAGGCGTGTCTGGTATCACTGCAAAATAAAAAAACAGTTTGGTGATCACATTCCAATATTTGAAGTTCGACAGCACAATAACTGACTCACTTACTTAAAATACACAAATCCCTGCTTACCTATGTCCTTTACGCACAGGATGAACGGGTTTGAGCGTGAGACTCCAAAGTAGTTGTACGCTGTAATAGTGAACTCATATTTAGTGTTTTCATCTAATGTTCTTCTTGGTATTTTTATTTCTTCAGCATCCTGGATGTGATTTGAATACACGCAGGTCCCATTGTCACTGAAAATGTAGAAAGAAAAAAAAAAAAAAGGTTGATGTCTAAAATAAAACCCTGGTGTTTAATAACCAACTTGGGCTTTAGCATTAAGGACAACCTGCTGATTGAGGAATTGTAGGTTGTAGAGATGTATGTTTGCGATCCACTCATCCATGAGCAGTATATAAAGTCTGAGCTTCTTGTCAGGTGGCAATTTAGTTTTTGGGGTTTATCTGGAGGACCTGGAGGAGGAAAAAAAAAGTAGTTATTTATTTGTACTCTGTGGAGAAAATCAGAATAAAATGTATGCCTAAGGCTTCTCAAAATAAAGACCAATTCTACTTTTCTTTTCTTTTTTTTTCTTTTCTCAGAGTCTGAATGACCTATTGTTTTGAAACAATGACAGATTATCTTTAAATGAAGTAAATTAGTAAAACTCCAGTGCATTTTTTTAACTGTGTCCCACTGTGGCCTGATACCAAATGACCTAAGGACCGGCACCGGCCCTCGGACCAGGGGTTGGGGACTCCGGGTTAAATGACAGTAAGCTCAACAAAGGGGACAAAGTTGAAAAAAATATACTTTTTTTTTTACTCAGAAAGGCAAAGAGGTAAATGTACTCATTGTGGTATTTTATTTTTAGTGAAAAAATAATAATGATAATGATGCTAAATATTTCCTAATAATCTTTTGGCCTGAATTGCAATGTCTCATTTTTTATTGCTTTTGGACAACGTTTAGTTAATTTTGTGGATTGTGACAGCATTTATTTAGAAATAAATACAAATCATTTTGTATTTAAAAATGTCTTGCTTCAGTCATGAGCCGCAACTTCAGAATTAAAAGACATTATTTATGTTTTATATTAACAACCAAGAGTGAAAATAATCTATTTGGAGGCTAACATATTTTTCCTGTCATTTCTTCCCATTATGTTTTGCTGTGTTAACTGACAACCTATTTGATTTGGTCACGTGGGCAAAAATCCAGCATGACAATAGCACAGATTAGACCTGGAAGCCTTTAGGACTTTAGAAATCTTACTACATACGTCCACCCTGCAGGTCCTGTCCACTGACGGTCTTGATGCTGTGGCCCTCGTCCAGCTTGCAGACCACGAAAGACTGTGACTCTTGGACATTTGGCAGATGAAACTGAACAGTGGTGCAATTGATTTCACTCCTGTCCTTCACGGTCTTGCTGCTCAGCTCCAGGAATATTGTGGAACTGCGAGTGTGGGACAAACAACTGCATTAACCTCAGCTGGGAGAATAAGACAAAAGAAATACCGTTCAATGTATTGTTATATAACAACAACAACCAGAAACCTTCCTTCTTCTCTCCATCATCATAATAATACATACACTTTAATGTGTAATCGACTGTTAAAAATTTTGCATCCTGAATTTTGCACTTCCTATTCACTTTGAACTGTCTGCATGTTTTTCTTATTTGCCTACATGTTCTCTAACTCAATTTTTGTAACAATAATGAAAACCTTTAGAAGAGTCTGCCTTACGCTTGGGAGACATAATGAAGGGCAAATAGTTACCAAATAAACAACACAAACAAAACAAAGGGAATGTAGCACAAGCTGATGTGTGGCGTACAACCGGTGTTTCATCAGGTTTGTATCCGCCGTCAGATTTGTATGCTTTGTCTACTGTACACCACTGAAATACAAATGTGCTTATCCTGGCCCGTAAAGTATTTTTTATGAATAAGTTATACATTTCATTCACCACTCCTAATATAGCAAATGTTGTATATTTCAATGTCTAAAGCCCAAACTTCAGGCACAGTAGGTTAATCCAATAGGTGCAATAAACCTATCAATTAAGCTATAGGTTAGGCAATTAAGCATCCTAAATTTATGGAAGATGGCGTCGTAAACCAGAAACCATGTATATATTTCATAGTTGCTGTGTACACACATTAAAGCTCTATGTTAGTACTGTGTATTTTTCCAAATTGTGTCTTACCGTGCAGGAAAGTGGAAAAAGGAAAGTAAACTGCTCGTCATTGCACACAACCAAATGTGACCTCTGCTTTTAACCCATCACTAAAGTGAACAGTGGAGCAGTGTGTGGGGACGGTGCCATGCTCAGAGCACCTCAGTGGTAACTTGGCAGCTGGCGGATCCGAATCTGAAACCTTCCGGATCCAAGTGTGCTTCCTTAACTGCCAGGCCACCACTGCGCCTGTCTACAGTAGATACAGTACGTATCACTTCTTCAATGTGAATTTCCTTATTCAGTGTTTTCAGTTACTTCTTTTGCAATTCTGGTTAGATGCAATCTGCATCTGTAACAGTGACGTGTGGAATGACAAAGTTTAATCAAAGTTTGATCAAATCTATACCGCAGCTTTTTCCTAATTTACTTTTACAGTATTTTTGGATTGGCCAGACAGCCTCAGCTGCACCATTCAAATAATTATGAACGCTAATGTGAACTGGTAAAAACTGGTAATGCCCCACCATTGTTAAAGGATCATTACATTTTTAAAATCAAACATCTTTCAGACTTTCTTCTGTCAGTATCAGAGTCTGAATGACCTGTTGTTTTGAAACATTGACAGATTATCTTGATGAAAAATTTAAAGGGATATTTAAAGGGATATAAAAAGGCCAATTAGTAAAACTGAAGTACATTTTTTCCCAAATGACCTATGGACTGGCACCGGTCCCCAGACCAGGGATTGGGAACCCCTGTATTATGTCACAGTTTAAGTAGTCTTTAATACAAATTTGTGTTTTCTTTGTTTTTTAAGGAAACATATTAGCATTTTCAAATGGCTAATTACAACACACTAAAATATTCATGTACATACAGTAGATGCTGCCAAACAGACAATTGCTAACTTGTTTTCATTTTAAATAGAATAAAGGAGGGAGGGATGCATGGATGGATGGACACAAGGACAGACGGGCAGACAGTTTGATGGACAGTAAGCAAAGGTTGCAAACACCACTTCTTCTCTTACACTGCACATTTAGTTCAGCTTTTACCTTGGCTGGCAGGTTTTGAGGTGGCAGTAAACCGTCAGATTTGAGCCCATGAGGAAGATGGAAGACGGCTCTACCGTCACATGCCCCAGTTCTTTGATGAACTGGCAGCAGGTGGGGAGCAGAGTGGAACCTGTCCAACAAGTAAAGTTCACACATCAGCTTTTTTTATGTCTTCGAAAGTATTCTCTAGTTTTACAACAAAGTAAACAGAGACGTTTGATATCAGAAGTATTTGGATCGCCGACAGAAGAAAAATCTTTTCAACTACCTAAAAGCTTCAAAATCGCTTTTTTAAAACAAACAGTTTCACACTTTGGTACAAAAAAAAAAATTGTGATTTAAAAATAAAACTCCCCACAACTGACAAAGTGCAGAACCACAACAGCAAACAAGCAGTAGCAAGTACTTACACAGAAAAAAACAAGCAGAGATTGTACATCTCAGCGTGTTCAAGGAAAGACCCATCTCAGTTCATCTTAACATTTCCTAAACACCTGGCACAGATTGAAGACGAGGCTGTAAAAAGAACTAACATTTGTAAGTATCACAAAATAATGTACTTCTTCCGTATTTCTCAGAACAAAACACAGAGTGATCATCAAACTCACCTAGAGCACCGGTGCCCAAGATGTGCCCTGTCTCACATGTGGAGAAACACGTGTGCAGGTTTTTGTTTGTTGAAAATGATAAGCTGCCGAGGAACAACAAGGAACAACAGCTCCAGTTAGTGCAGCTCTCTGACACAAATCCAGCTCTTGAGCTGTCTTACAACTCAACTGCTAATAGCCAAAGTTTTCTGGAGATGACTTGCTCTGATAGACTTTCTCACAGAGTACGGTGCAAAAGAAATAGAACACTGACCTAGTTTAGTGGTTTCTTAAGCGACCAAAAGAGCAATCTCAGAACTTTGTTGTTCTACTTCAACTGCTTGTTTTTTTTCTTTCATCACCACAGACTCTGTGCTGACCTGATGTGAGTTTTATGAACACATGTTCTTATTAAAGATGCCGCTGCAGCTGCTGACATTGCCGATAACAGAGATTAGTTTGACGTGTGACGTGCCGCGTGCCACAAAAAGCTCAGAAAACGATGCTGACTGCTCCCTTTGCTTGTGCTGACCCCTTTTTCACACTTTCAACAGGTTCAAAAGATACTGAAGGAATGATGATGAAGAGTGTAAAGTTGAGCTTCAAATATTTGTTCTCTCTTTTTTGATGCAGTACATTTAGAAATACTACTTTTTAAAACTTGCGGTCTAAATTTTTCCACCCCTTTCTTCAAAAACATTCACAGGGAAAACCCAGTAGCTCGACTGTGCATGTTTACTTGATAAAACAGACCACATATTTGAGGTTAAAAAACTGCTCCACCCTCAAATGTTAAAGACTTTTTGTTTCTTTTTTATATTTTGAAAAAAAATATAGTATGTTTTCTAAAAGTTACAACTAGTTGAGTAAGAACTAGTAAGTAAGTAAGAGAAATTCTTTAAACTCAAGTTCATGCTTGACCAATAGTTAACATAAATGACAGCAGGAAAAAGATTTATGTGTCTCCTACTACTCTACTCCCACCACCAAACAGCAAAGGGGGGGGGGGACTTTTTGACAATAGTAGACTTTTTGACAATGTGCCTGATGTTTTTAGTTCAACTGTACAGACTGTTTGCAATCTCTACACACACCAAACGACACAGAAAACATAACTGTGCAGTCAGCAAATTTTTTTTTTGAGAAATCAAAGATTAGTCAGAGTATTTTCCAATCAATAACGGTCGTAGTAATGTATTATGGCAGTTAACAGTCACAGCAACATTTTCAAGAGCAAAAGGTAATATGCCTTTTTCCCTTAATAGTCAGTTGAAAGTAAAGGTTAAATACTAACTGAAGTTAAATCATCAACATGATGAAAAAAATAAGAATAACATCGCCCTTCATTTGGAGGTGTTAGAGGTTTGGAGGTGTTAGGGGTTTGGAGGTGTTAGGGGTTTGGAGGTGTTAGGGGTTTGGAGGTGTTAGGAGTTTTTAAAAAGTCCTCACTGATTTCATTATCTAGCATTACATTGCCTAACTGATTTCATTATCTAGCATTACATTGAGGGTTACATTTAAGGTTGCCAAAGAAGTGACTGTGATCATCAAGCAAAGATCGCAGACATCAGAAGAAGTGGAAAGTTGCTACTGATTTGGATCAACGTTGGCCGGCGACACTATTTCGGAGAAAATAATTTGTGAGAAAGCGAAGTGAACATTGCGCAACCACGACTACTCAGCAGCGGTACGGATGAATGAAATTGCTTTTCGAATTTATAGCTTTATTCTTTACTCAGTTGTGTTTATCTTTTTGTTAGATCTAATTATTTTTCATTTATTGTGTGTTTGAACTTGTCCACAAAATACTGTTGAAAAGGTTTGAATAAGCATCAGTCATCGGGGGTTCAGGAACAGATTGATCCATTTTAAATTGACTCCCATGTGGAAACCAAAGTTGTCCATAATGGTAAAATTATGTACATTCGCCCAATCAATAAGGGGAGGGAAAGATAGAAGCTCCAGAGACACCTGAAGACTTGAATCTCAAGATATGATAACCTGTTTTCTTTTGATGGTCTTTTTACACAGAGTTTGAAAAGCATTGTGTAATTTACCACTGTTTGTCCCTCTCTACTGTTTTCCAGCTGAGTGATGAGTTCGGGAACGTCTTCAGTGTCCGTATGGGCAGGGACAAGGCCGTGTTTCTGACTGGATATAAGATGATCAAAGAAGCCCTCGTGACACAGGCTGAGAACTTTGTGGACCGACCATTTAGTCAAGTGGCTGACAAGCTGTATTCAGGCTCAGGTAAAAAAAAAAAAAAAATCACATCAAAATTTGAGAGAAATTTAAGAAAATGCAACCATTTTACCTCTTTGTGCCTCGTGTCACAATGAACATGGAAGAAGCACCGTTTCGAGTTTCGCCTTGTCCACCTTGCGCACCTTTGGTTTGGGTACGAACACAATGGAAAACAGCATCCTGGAGGAGGTGCAACACCTGCAGAATGTGATCAAGACTGAAAAAGGTACTGATATTATGATGATGAAAACACAGCTACTTTTGAACCTAAAAAAGTATCAACGCTTGTTTACAGAAAGCAACAACATAAAGTACTGGAGTACTGATTAATTGGTAATAGAGAGAGTACAATTGTTGTAAAGGCACGACCTGGTATCTCAACAGTGAAATTTATTTCTCCAGGTAAACCTTTTAGCACAGCACGTCTCTTCGCTTGAATACAGCGTTTGAATACAGCGATCACAAATTCCAGAACGTGCTCAAATCCATGTCAGATCTTCTGATGCTGGAGGGCTCTATGTGGGCCAGGGTAAGTCAATATTTATAAAATTAAATTATTGATAAAAACACAAATCTCTGCTGAAAGCATGGGATATACCCATTAGATCACCGTGTCCTAAGTCATATTGCCCAACCTTTCCCATGTCCAGGATTGACTTTCTTTACTTACAATGACCAGTCTTGCTAAGCTAATGCTGCTAACTATACTTTAACTACTTTTTGTTAATGTTTTTAAATGCACATTATGTAGATTTTTGCTAAGCCAAGAGGCCAAGCTTCCAGTTTTGGTTCATTAAGCATGTAGGAAAACAGGTTAGCTTTGTGTATACTAAGATTAAAAAGCCTATTATTTTCCCCATTGTGGGATAAATAAAGTTACTTCTTAATCTTGATTTACATGATGACCAAACATGGCTTGTTCTGGATGAACGGATTTCACATTCAAAATGTAGTGCATACTCATAGCACAAAATTTAAGTATTTTACTACCTTTCTGAAATTAGATGTATACTCAGTTCAGCTTATTCTTAGCAAATATAAATGAGCTATGGATCACGAGAAATAAAAAATCAAGAGAGCCCACTGATGACCACGGTAGTACCACTGAACCCATGTTATTAGAGCAGCGGTTCACCAACGCCATCATTTTTTCTATCTCGCGCACCCCCTGATGGTCACTCTCGCACACCACACTTTGGAAATCCCTATTTTTATTATTAGTATTAACTGTACACCTATGCACCCTGTACCAGCCTAGGTTGGTGTAAGGCAGTTTGGCAAAATGAAGGAAATGCAGATTGTCTATTTTATATTTCATATTTTATGTCAATTTAAGCTTTAGGTTTGCTTGTGGACAGGACTGTTTTATTAACCACTGAATAAGCAGGCACATGGTAACTGGCAGATATAATGTAATTAAATTATAGTTTTTTTTTCTCTTTTTTTTTTCTTTTACAGCTCTATGACTCATTCTCTATGAGGACAAAAAACATGTCCTGTTGGAAAGTGTTATCTGGGTCTGTATAACAGGTCATAGTATTTTTCAAATACTGGACAACAAACTTAGGTCGAGATTATACTGGTGCAGAGCAAAGGTCAAGCAGCAAACTAAATGGCGTCCCTGTGTGGCAGCCTGTGTGGGTTGTAAAGAGAATTTCCCCATTATGGGAACTCATACGGTAAATTATAATAATTGGTTTAAATGGCCTCACCAGACCAGACCTCAGATCTCATGTTTGTGTGTGTGTGTGTGTTTGTACTTACCAGGTAAACGTGTGTGTCTTGGAGAAGGACTGGCCATAATGGAAATGTTTCTGTTTCCTGTAGCCTTGCTCCAGAGGTTCTCCTTCTCTGCTCCTGATGGGGTGAAGCTGAACACCGAGGGAATCAATGGAGCATCACGAGTGCCCCATGCCTTCAAGGTTGAAGCTAGAGTTCGCTGAAAAAGAAGAAATACATGCTTTTCAGTTCAAAACTCAATAAAACATTTACTGCAAGGTTGACAAAGGTTGTGCTTTTTTTTTTTTACTTTTGCACGTGTCCTTCAAATCATGATACAGTCTCTCTCAGATATCATTAATAGGAAAGAGATGAGAAATGCAGCCACATTGTTGCAATTTGTGCACAACACACGCATTGTCCTGGGGAAAACCAGAGAGTTCCTGAAAAAAAAGACACTGACTTAAATAACGAGGAACGATGATTCACCCCAGTAGGAGGATTTATTTAATCTTTGGTACACGTCATAAGCGGACATCAGTGAAATCATAACCCCAGGAGACAGTGCCAAGGACACGGTCTTGTGACTGAGTAGGTGGAGAAAGTTGATAATGCATATCAACTGTCTTTTATGGACAAAAGAGAATCTGAGTTTGACCTCTGGTAGACAAAACAAATGATTATAGAAAGTAGTATGAAAGTAGAATATATTATTATAGAATATACTTATTTATTAACGAGGTTATTTGAAAACACGTCTCACATTTCTGCAATCAGGGCTATTGAGGAATGAGGTGGAAATTAAAAAAAAAAAATCGATAATAAACTTTTCTTATGTATCACTATAGTAGTAAAGCTCACCCAAAGAAGGGCTTCTCATCTTGCCCCAGCTAGACATTTGTAACCTCTGGAGATATCCAGTCACCTCGTGGTTTCACAATTGATTTTTATTTATTCAAGCTTCAAATATTGTTCATTGCTGTGTAATAAAAAATAACATTTAATTTCTTAGGTTAAGAAAGTCTGCTGCATGGGGTTCACTAAATGCTTGAGTTTGACACACGTGGTTTTACGGAAGAGTGCAAAAGATCAACATTCAAAGATAAAGATGTTATTTATAAAAGTTAATAATCTGTCATTGTTGTTTTACTGGTTATAATCTGTAAGTTAATAATCTGTCATTGTTGTTTTATGACATTTAAAATACATTCATCTCTCTTGCAACATCTATCTGCACTTTCATTTGAATCAATACGACAGAGTGGATGTTTTGAGTTTCTAAATGTGGAGCCTGTGGTTAATTGTTAAACTAATCTTTGTGCTGGTTATGCAACCTTTGATGTCACCACCTTTGTACACTGCTGCTTTTCATACATTATAAAATGTGGAACTCCAGCACAGATAGTATTATGCAGCTATAGCACTGCTGTATATCAAAGTGGGGGATTTAAGGAATTTAGGAAGACAGGACTAGACAGGACATCTGGCTTTTTAACCATGTGGCTTTATAATGTTTTGCTTAGTTTCGACCTTAAAGGGCTGCTGCTATTTGTTTTTTTCTTTCTTCTGGTAGCTGATTTCCTCAATAACAGAAAACCACCAAATTATCCTCCAGGACCAAAGGGTCTGCCTTTTGTGGGGATTTTCTTCAGCGTTGACACGAAACACCCTCACCTTTATTTCAACAAGGTAAGGTTCATAAAAAAAAAAAAAACTATTTATTTTGCCTTTTTAATTGCTAATGACTTTCAGGTTCTGGCTGTTCATAAAATCTTAGAATTTTAAAATATGGAAAACAAAATACGGTTTTGTCTGTTTTTCCTAATAAATAAAAAATTACAACTAGTACACTTTTGTCTGTCTCTATTGTCTCCAGCTGAGTGATAAGTTCGGGAATGTCTTCAGTGTCCGTATGGGCAGGGACAAAGCCGTGTTTCTGACTGGATATAAGATGATCAAAGAAGCCCTCGTGACACAGGCTGAGAACTTTGTGGACCGACCATTTAGTCCAATGGCTGAGAGGTTTTATTCAGGCTCAGGTAAAAAAAAAAATTATCTAAGAAAAAAGTGCAACCATTTTACCTATTTGTACTCATGTCATGATGAACAGGTGGTTTGTTCTTGAGTAATGGTGAAACATGGAAGAAGCACCGGCGCTTTGCCTTGTCGACCTTACGCACCTTTGGCCTGGGAAAAAACATAATTGAAAACAGCATCCTGGAGGAGATACGATACCTGCAGGATGTGATCGAAAATGAAAAAGGTACTTTATAATTATTAGACAATTACTTTAGAATCTAAAAATGATCAAAACTTTTTTACAGAAAGGTACAGATATAAAATATAATATATGTCACATGCTCAGTTATACAGGCATAACTAAGGGGAATGCCGTTTATGAAACTTTTCTTTTTTAACATAGACAAAAAATACACAATACCTTTTTTTTTATAAAGAACTTGTCATAGAAAGAGAGAGAGTACAATAATAGAGGTAGAGAGGTAAAGGCACGACCTGGTATCTCAACAGTGAAATCTATTTCTCCAGGTGAACCTTTTAGCACAGCACGTCTCTTCAACAATGCTGCCTCCAACATCATTTGCCAGATGGTGATGAGGAAACGCTTTGAATACAGCGATCACAAATTCCAGATAATGCTCAAATACTTGTCGGAACTTTTGATGCTGGAAGGCTCAGTATGGGCCACGGTAAGTCAATATATATATTAATAAAAACACAAATCGCTGAAGACTTGGGATATACCTATTGTATCTCTTATTTGTTTGACAAATGTCAAAATGTCAAAAGAATTACCGTATTTTCCGCACTATAAGGCGCACCTAAAATCTGAAATTTTTTTCAAAAGCTGACTATGCGCCTTATAATCCGGT